TTTTTTTTTTTTTTTTTTTTTTTTTTTTTTTTTTTTTTTTTTTTTTTTTTTCTTAAAGAAAATTTATTTATTTTGTTTTTTTTTTGTCATCAACATGTATATTTTTTTTTCTTTCATTACTTCTCTTTGTGTTGAAACATAAAGCAAACTGTAGAGCATCAGTCATGTCTCAACTTTTGACGTTACAGTTATGCGTATTCACACAAGGTTTAATGTAAACCCATCGCGCACGCGTACTTTCAGAGTTAACAACTTTTTCTATTTTTTTTTTTTTTTTTACGTGCAGAGACTCGATTTTGGCCTCAGCGTTCATCGAGAGCTCGATCATCTTCTCGCATTCTGTACACGCATACAAATATTATAATATGTACAGACTTACTTCTACATTGCCTCTTGGTTTTGCGTACTTTTACGTACTTTCTTGCGTATCAAAATATATATGTATATAGGTATATATAAGTTCGTGATGATTACAGTATTCAATTGGAAAAATATTATCAAGTTCATTGTTTCGAGACCGTTGAGGTCTTTTCATGTACAAAGTTAAAAAATTTTACTACCCTCGAGTACAAAAAAATCACGCTACTTTATTAGCAGCTATTGATAAGTGTAGTGCGAATAGGAACACGACGATTACTGTGTTTTTCTTACTTTTTAAACGAATCACTGCAAAACCAGTGAAAACAACAAAATTGACTATATATATATATGTATGTAATAGTAATAAGTGTTTACTATCTAAAAACAGTAAAATTCAAATTTTCACCGAAATGAAACTAATTTACAGTGATAAAAAAAAATGCACTTTTTCAATAAACATTAAAAATTTTGACTCTAGTGGTATGTTTACTTTTCCATGGAATGGATCGAGAGAAACGAATCCCGAGCCGTGTATTTTCAAATTCATTTGTAAAGCGCTGAAAATCAACAATTTAACGCTATAGAGACGAGCCCGTAAAAAATCACGGCCATGTACTTGTCTACAATAAAAATAAATGCCAACGAAAATACTCGTAAAAGACAATAATAAAATCGCACTATAGCTCACCCGGAGAAACTGGCTAAAAGTAACCCGTACGTGGGGTACGAGACAAGACTTATTTTAACAAAGTAAATTGTTGCACTATAGCAAAGAGGAAGGAAAAAAAAAAAACAAATTACACTACGTTGCAGCAGCACATTCGTCCAAACGGACCGGGGTGCGGTAGTTAATGGTGGTTTACCTCGGGGGGCCACTACAACGCCAACCACCGAAGGTACACATTGTCCCCGAAGAGTCCCCAGCGGTGTGTACTGAAAAAAGCTCGCAGCGTCGGCCACAAGTGGGGGGCCCCGTCGCACGAGGAATAAAAAAGAAGAGGAGTAGGCCTCGGGCTAGCCCAGTCCGACGTCGAGCGACATCATCACCAAGAAACCAACCACTGCGCCCCAGCTGGCCAGTTTCCCGTTGCCGCTGCGAACAGACATAACACTAGGTAAGAAGGTGGGTTGGTGTAGCGTGTAGGTACATATACATATATACATGGTAACGAGTAAGGTGACGAGGAGAGGAAGTGATTTTTCTGCCCAACGAAAGCAGCGGGTGGAGAGGAAAAATGGCACAAAGGCGTCTGACCCCCCCCCCCTTCCACTGCATGGCGTAGACTATGTTTGATGATATACTATATATATGGTTGACTTGCAGAGAAGAGCCGGTGCATATAGTGTATATATACCCACGTCGCGTCACGGCTTGTTGGTTTTGTAAATTACACGCTGGGCCGTCTGGGATATGTACTTAGGTACAATATCCGCGCGTGAGTGTACGTATAAAGGTACGTGTGGCTTTAATACAGGTAGCAGGTTGAACGCGTGAGTTACGGGACGACTTGTCGTTAGAGCTGATGGGCGTATTTCTACAATCAATCATATCTCGTATCTTACCTACATGTAACAGTACGGAGGTTGGAGCTCGTACTTCTGCTTTTGGTATACATTATAGCTCGTAGGTGGTAGTTTCGCGAGGTACGGAAACAGGAGATTTATTTTTTTCAAACTGATAGCTCGAGACGAGTGCTCGTTGTTTTGTACATTTCAAGTGTAATACACGTGGCTCAAGCGCTCGAGGGGCAGGGGAGGGGGTGAAAAAAGGAAACTTCAGGGGAATCGTCGGAGCTGTAACAAGGGATTGATCGATTTGAGCGAGTTTTTTTTTTTTTTATTAGCTGCCGGACGAAGGGACGTGCTCGTGCTTTGCGGTGCCCCGTGCTGAGCTTTGCCGTACCTATATTCGGATGGGTCGGTTGATCGATGGGAAAAAGCGAGTACCTATATATATACGTACGATTGCCCTCATAGAAGGGAGAGGGTGGGGGTTGTCAGGTGGAAAAACTCGACTGTCAAGGTGAAGGTCTGATGAATCGTTGTTTTCAGTGACAAGTGCCACGTCGAGTACTTACTTAACATCTCGTAGCAAAATACTGAGTTAAAAAGTTTGTGGGGTTGGTAGGTGGGCTTTAGGAACATACAGCTATAAATAAAGTCTGCTCTTTAGTGCTTGTTCGTACCTTTAGAAAAAATATTTTTTCAAGGGTACGGGAAGGGCGAGTTGAATATAAAGGCCAAGGATCGGCCCACCCGAATGAACGAGTCTTCAAATCAGCCTCGATTTGCGAGAATAAAATTAATCTCGAGTGACATGTATATGCAATGTTAGGTATATTATATACGCGCGTACCCATATACGAAACAATAACCGTATAGGAAGACATTACATGAGATATCACGGCGTTCAGCCGATCGATCCGCACGTGTTATATGTACATATATACAAGCAAAGCCCCGAAATCTAGCTCAGAAGTATAAAAAAGAGAGGAGGGGGGGGGGAGGGAAGAAAGAAAGAAAGCTCGTTTCAGCTCGTATGCCTGTTCTCATCGGGGCCGAGTGTATAATATATGTGTGTGCATCGGACAGGGATCAGCGAAAAAAAAAAAAAAAAGGAGACAGAGAGGGAAGCACCGCGACGACGTTTCCTTCGAGCGTATACATACACACGCGTATAGACGCGAGAAGTCGAAGAGCTGGATGTCTATTTTCACTTTTGTGCTTTCCCGAGGGAGCGCGCGACGCCAGAGTATCTCATAGCTCACATGGGTAATTCATCCACGGTGTGTGTGTGTGTGTGTGTGTAGCTATTGGGTCGTATGCATGTAGGGCCTTTGGGCTGTGAGATCGGTCTCGCGAGGCGCGACGCACAAAGGCGAAAAGGGGGCCAATTATAATGACAATGAGAGGGGAGAGGAGAGGCCCTGGGAAAAACGCCGGCGCGGCAGCTCTCTCCTCCTTTCTTTTCTTCTCGCTTGCACGCTCCTCTCTCTCTCTCTGCTTTGCTCTACGATTCGGGTCCAGATTTTCGAGGGATCGCGCGTGTGTATCGTGCCATCGGACCAACACACACACGTACAAGGGGCCAGGTGATAACGGGGGTTGGGGGGCGGGGGGGTGAGGCTTTGTCGGGTTTTTCGGGAGAAAGTGGGAATCTAGGCCTCTCGGCGCTACACCGGCTTACCTTTCATTTTTTTTCTCTCCCTCCATGCTACGTATAGACGACGGCCTTGTATAAGCGACCCGATGCTTGTACACTCCCCTCTTCTTCTTCTTCTTCTCTTCCTTTTTATTTTTGCTCTACTAACGAAACTGATACGCGCGTGAGACTCTAGCTTCGGTTCCCAGTTGCCGATCTACAATGGAGTTGCACCGATGAGCGAAAAAATGAGCAAGATGATAGAAAAAAAAGGAGGGGGTGGGGGGGGTGCAAGCTTCAGTGATAATAATTATCCGCTGGAAGAAATGAAAAAAAAAAAAAAAAAAAAAAAAAAAAAAAAAAAAAAAAAAAAAAAAAAAAAAAA